ATGGCTTGTAAAATAGTGTTCATTTTTATAATACTAAATATGAATATAAAGTCATTAGTGCAATAAGTTCCTTTAGACAGCAGTGGGAGCTTTAGAGTCAAGCAGCTCACTGAGTTCCTTCTGTTTTAAAACTGACTCCGATACAACACCCTCATGTTTGTGTTTGTAGCACACCTTAACACTGTTTGTGTTCAGAAAAACTAGAGTATTTAGAGATGATGTTTTAAATCTATTTCAATTTTTTTTTATTTGGGGAGGGGGAGCTGTTTATTTCATTTAAACTTCAATAATCTGATCAGAAAAGTCTACTTCCTCATCATTTGGGGTCCCACAGATCCTACTACTGTATATGCAGATTATATTATATATTATATGAAATAATATTAAATAAAAATCAACCTTTTTTCCTTTTCCCTTTGTTCTTTTCATCTTATCTTATTAAAACCCACTCTGTAGTGTATATCCCCTTTGGTGTACTAACAAAGCATTATCATTTTTTGTATTTTGTCACCTTCATCAAATGTGCAATCCCAGTTTCTGGCAAACAATTCTTTTATGCGTTATGTATGAAGAAATACTAATTTCTATTTGTCTGCCAAAAAGTCATTAAAAAATAAACAAAGTACAATACATCCTAAATAGTGACATAGTTTTTCCCCATTAGACCTCTTATGGACAAACTGCTAAAAAACTCCAATAAGAGATAGATACTGACTGAGTGTGGTGGTGTACGTGCTTCTTAAGGATTCAGGAGTGCAGCGCAAAAAGTAAGGATATACATTCATTTTATTAACCATGTTTTATAGCTGGGGTCCCTAAGACTCCAAAGAATTAAAAAAAAAAGAAAAAATTAAGTTTGTTATTAAGCGTAAAGCAATGTTATGTATGTTATTTGAGCTGTTACGAAGGGCCCGGGGTCTCTGAGACCCCAAACAGCAGTATCTGCAAAATGGTCAGAAATGTGGTCAGTACTGTTCCCACATAGGAATGTCTCAGTGTTTGATTTTATCAGCTACAATCCTGGTGTAAAAAATAATATTGTACTAAAGTGTCTTAAAATGCATGTAACATATAGTAATAAATAATAGTAGGTCTATGACACTGCTGCTAATGTTTTTGGGTGCCAGATAGTCTGGTATGAGTGCAGTCGTCTCACCTGGAAAACTCATGATTACCTCAACTACCCTCCAACCCATCAAACCCCCCCTACCTCCACTCACCTGCCCCCAACCTAATTCAACCGTTCCCTCTCTGAACTCCAGCAGGGGTCCATCGACTTATTGCATTATGTACTATTAAACAAACTTGGACTTCTTAAAAGCAGAGTCAGACTTCAGAGGCTGTGTGGCATGTTTATAGGGATGGACTGTACAGTACACAGAGATTTCTCATTTCTCTCGGTGACCTTGGGCACAGTGACATGTACGGTTTTCAGGCTTTGATTTGCCACGTTGAGGTGTTGCGGAAAAGGTGCAATGCAAGATAATTTTGGCATTTTTTCCCTCCTGGGAGCATAGAGAAGTAAGAAATACAGCAGTTCATACTCGGGAGATTACAGGTAATATGGCACACAGCCTTCATAAACATTCTTGACCCAACCTGATGATGGAGATATTGCTTCAGGAGAGACTTTTCACACTTTGATTTGCCTAAAATGAGATGGAGAAGTCAGTGATCAGACTCTTTGAGGTTCCTCACAGAGAAGCAAGCACTGGCTGTATATCTCTCAGTGTTACACACAGCACACACATGCTATGACAACCAGGTGAGCAAGGAGCAGACTCCTGCAAACAAATAGAGAGAAATATCCTCAAAGAGATGATACTGATGTATTATTCATGTCAGAAAAAATACTAAAATGATCCATCTCAAGCCATTGAATCCAGGTGATAATCCACATGCTTCTGGGGCAGCCCTGGGCGAATTAGGGATGAGGAAACCATTGTACATCCCTCTAAGGTCAACATGGTTGAACCGATGATACATATGTATGTTAATTTGCCTAATCTCACTTCTACAAATGTCTTACAGGCACATAAAGGGTTTAACACTAAGACATAATGATATCAGGGCATCAGACGGGGGGCTTATGAAAACATGAGGCACCCATAGCTTTAAATCTTTGCAGAAAACGTTGTATGGGCTGTCAGTGTAGCTACATTAAAATACCAAGGCAAGCATTGTTAGGATTTTAAATCTTAATTTCCTATTAAAATATAAACTAAAACTATAATCTATTGTTTTCTTAGTATTGGTGAAGTAACTGTTTGAATTATTCCTTTAAATTTAAAATGCTTGAATACATTTCATCCAGGATTGTTTTAATTATTATATTCTTGAAACCATACTTATAACGGTTTAATTAAAACCACTTAACAGTGTTATAATTTCAGAATTTAACCGCCTTTTTCTTCTAAATTAAGTAGACATCAATAAAGTATGTTAAATTAATACACTTCTGCAGGAGGACCAGTCTTTATCTCCTGTAAACACTTTTACTAAATCTACCAAAAGATATTCTTTAAACATAATCTTTAACACTCTCCTATATCTAATACCAAGAAAAAGGGATTGTGACAGACACGTGACTGCTATCTGAACTTGTTTGAATATGTGTGTTAAATTAAATAAAGTAATAATTGAATTAACTTTGTCCAGTGTTTTTTTGCCAAGTGCTCACATTGTTCAGCACCTTCACATGTTTTTACATCAGGGCCAGATTGCTTATCACTATGCAACCATTTATACCAACCCATCATCTGTTTAGCCACACAAAACCTATTCTCATTATCTAACTGTGTGGATTGAGAATATTTAGATCAGTGAGCCATGTGTAAAGTATTTATTTATTTAGTAAGTTATTCCTTGATTACAATTTTAAAACTAATTTTAACTTAACTTTTACTTTAAGGCCTGCATGAGACAAGAAAGCCAAACTCAAAGGGTGAAATCCTATGGCTCCTGTTTAGGGAAGTTTGGTTTAATTTTATTTTGTATAATAATCACAAATTATCTGAACTATAAATCTTACCCTGGGAAGCAGAATGCATTGCCCTTGATTTTACTGAGGATCTTGACATCAAGAGTGAAAAACATTTTATACGAAAAAAGTTTTCTCCCACTTATTTCCATAGTTGCATCTCCACCTTTCCCATTCATCCCCCGTCTTAGACAGAAGAAAAACCATAGGCTATCTATTCAAAAGGCATTTAGTCCATTTCTTTCTTGGCCGGTAAACCTATTCATCAATTGTTCTGGCTTGTAGATTGCATTCTAATGCTAATCTAGCGTGTTAAATATCTTTTTGTTCCCCTTTCACCGTTTTGTCATTCAGTTTATCCAGTTTTGGCCACCCATTTTATTTATTTATGCGCCTGCTTCTATTCATGCGCTCATGTATTTTTTATTATGTTGTTTCACTGTCATGCAGTGTCAACTCACTCTATTCAATGTGGGCTACTTGAAGGGCTTGGAGGGACAAAGCGTGTACACATTGCAGTGCTATTCACTCCGGCCAGCTGGATCGGCTGAAAAAAACCTTGTGAAAAGAAATCCTCCACAACGGACACAGAAGAAGTGCACAATGCTAACAGTTTTCCAAATACCACTGATTGCTTTCATCACAATGAGGGAAAGCAGCCGCTTTTGCTGAGCTCCACTTCAACAAACAACACTCTCACAAAACCTCCCAACCCACGTTTTGTTCTCAGACAAAACCCCCTCGACCGTCTAAACGCTCCCAGAGTTGAAAAAAGGTTCTTTCAGCTTTCTTCCCCCTTTTCCTCAAGAAAGAAAAATATAATAAAAAGGCCAAAGAAAGAGAAAGAAATGGCCACTGAACTCATAATGCAAGTTCTTTCACTGACTTGACGACCTCGTCTCCAGACAGCACTTTTATACTCAGAAAAAATCATTTAAAGGTGAACCTTTACATTTTCTTATTTATATTACACATGATCAAATCTAATTCATTTCGTGGCACGACAAAAAAAATACAAAATAACAATAACCATAAAAACTGAAAAATAAAAAACTGGAATTAAAACGTACAGATCATTTTCAACCAACAAATTCTAGTGTCAAAAAATTTGACCTAATTTACCTGAACATGAAGTGTAAATGCCACCAGTTCTGACAACCTCTCCGGACCCCCCCCCACTCTAAGACTTTAAATGAAACACAAGGTCACTTGCGCGTTATTTTCGGGGCCAAGAAGGAAGTTCCGTGGAGAGGAGTGATCGGGGTGTCACAATGGAGAGCACAGTGGTGAAAGGGTTTAATTAACCGTGACGGAGATAATTATCCCTGGACTGTCCAAATTAGTTTTGCATAATCGCTCTGATCCTTATGAATTAATATCTCAGTGTAACCTATAGGAGGGGCACTTTGCTTTAAATAACACACGACATGTTATACATCTAATATGAATTGAAAATGTGGTGCACCCAATAACACACACATACACCTGCTACACACACACACATACACACACACTCAGTTGCGCGTGAGAACATGCACTCTTTGGGATGCTTTTCTTTCTTTTCTTTTTTTTTTTTTAAAGAGCGTGTCCTTTTTAATTCATACTTTGTTGTTCTTTGTCACACACTCAGCTCAGGTTGTTTTAAAGCCTCAAAGACGAGCTTGTTCTGCAGCCTTAAAAGCTGCTCTCTCTCTCTCTCTCTTCCCCCCACCACCACCACCACCACCACCCACCCACCGGTCCCTGCATGGGAAAAAGAAAGCTCAGAGTTTTATCTCCCTCCCTATTCACGATTAAAATTGTGATAAATAAGGTTTTGGCTCTTGATTACAATGGGCTGATTTAGATTTCCCCCCAGTAATGCCATTCAAAGCGCGGACAAAAGCGGCCTTTGGAGGATACCTTACACTTCACCTGGACTGAGGAGCAGGAGCAGGGAAAAAAGAAAAGATAACAATCTTGTTCATCTCATCAAGAAGTACAGCCGCGATTCCCTTCCGTTTAATCCGAATACGCTTTATTGTAGTCCTTTTGCTCAACAAGTGAACAGTAGCAATAGGTTGAAGTACATAACGGAGGTTAAAGAAAACACAAAAAACATACAAATTCCATAAGAGTTAGTTAAAAAGGGTTTTTTTTTTCTGCTGCACATGATACGAGGAGTGGGAGGGTGGGATCAAGAAATGATAAAACTCCTTGAATAATCTTCAGCATCTGCATTTAAATTGGAACTTTTTTTTTTTTTTTTTTGTTACTGTTTGGGGGGGGTTAAAAACGGTCTGAATGAATCAAACCTGAAAGTTGCAATGAACTGAATATCACCTTCAAAATAAATTACATCCTCTACGTTTCATGTGCAAATATTACAGAACTAGTCTTGTCCTTTTTAAAATCGTCTGGGTCACCATAGATTCCACTAAACAATAAATATTACAGACATCTATAAAACGGTTTAAAAACTCAAAATATACACCGGATTTCTAGTGAAATACGTAGGTTCCTGGCCCTATCTCAAACACTAAGCCTATAACGGCAAATAAACTAGAGTCATTTTTATCTGTACACATTTACAGTCATTCAGGAGGGGAGAAATGTTGTGACAGTCCTCCTTGATCCATGGATTATAGCCCATCAGCCTACAACAATTTTATCTGAGAGGAAACGCTGTGATCCTGGGATTAATATGGTCATTGTATATGCTGCCGTTGATTCCAACAGGTTAGTCAAGCAGGTGCAACTTGCAAAAGATAGAAATTGAATAGTGTACCTTTCAAAATGGGCAAAACTGCTCTGATACCATTTTTCCTCTCAATTGTGTGCATTTCTGCCGTCCTTTAGTCCTTTCCCTCCGGGCTGTGAGAGGTGATGGCTGATAATAGATTAGAGAGTTCTCTAAATAAGCATTACCTTAGATAAAGGCATTAATCAATATACATACACATGTGATATCTGAGACGACGAGCACTTCATCACATGTACAAGTTTGTGCATGCATAATAAAACTCTTGCATGAATACCTTTTTTTTGTTTGTTTGTTTTTGTTTTCACATTTCGTTTTCTTAGAAGTCCAAAGTGGGCCTATCATAATGCTGCAGCATATGCAGGGTACGGTTCAAGTTGAGGTTTTCCCATGCCGGGGAGCAGGATGTATGCTAAAGGCGGCTGGAGTCCCGCTGAGGGCCAGCCCGTACAGTTACAAGGGATCATGTAGCCTGGGTTTCCCGGGGACGGGTGTGAGTGAGTGTGGGTGTGCGTCCCGCCACCTACACCGCCAGTCCCGGTGAAAGCCGTGGCGCCCGCCGGCGGGTAGCCCAACGGAGACGCGTACGGAAAAGAAGGTGGGGAAAGCTCAGTCATCTTGGATCCCAGGTCGAAAAAGGAATAGGGGTTCGTGGACATGGACGGGTTGAAGAATACCCTCGCTGCTGCGGCCGCCGCAGCCGCCGCCGCCTTGTCCGGGTTCCCAAGGACGGACTCGGAAAGTGCTCCAGAGGAAAGCCCGCTAACTTTGAGTGCGTCGTGCTCCCCGAGATTGTAGGGCACCGGGAAAGAAAACTTATCTTTTTTCATCAGAGTCTTAGGCTTCCGCCTCGGTCTGTATTTGTAGTCTGGGTGCTCCTTCATGTGCATCGCTCGCAGTCGTTTGGCTTCGTCGATGAATGGCCTTTTCTCAGACTCGGTGAGAAGTTTCCACTCCGCTCCTAATCTTTTGCTGATCTCGGAGTTGTGCATTTTGGGGTTCTCCTGAGCCATCTTCCTGCGCTGGGCTCTGGACCAAACCATGAAAGCGTTCATCGGGCGTTTTACGTGATCCATTGGTTTAGACATTGTTGGCACAAAACACTCTGAAAATAAACAATATTTTAGAGAATAAGTACAAACGACTCGCAAAAATCTGAACAAAATATCACACACGACTCCTTTTAAAAAACAAAAAAAAGTTTAAGCCATTCAAGTCATATTCATTCGAGGCTCACAACAAGTGCAGCTCGTGTTTTGGTCACTTACCTAAGACTTCAGTTCTTCATCCCAACGATGATTATCTTCTGTAAAGTACAAGTGGCAGCGTCCTTACGAGGGCTCAACTTATGTTTTCTGCTCCATGGTGGCATCCGTCAGTGATTCGCCTTTAGCAAGAGGAGAAGGAAAAAAAAACCCGCTGTCTTGTTTTCCTCTTGTCGCCTGAGACTGTCAAACACCACTCAGCAGCAGCATGTACGCAAGTGGATGATAACTCCCGCTTGCCCCATGTGAAATACAGGATTGTGTGGCAGGTAGTGAAAGTGCCACCGGCGCATGCGCACTGGCGCCGAGCACGCAGACGGCTGCTTTTTTTTTTAAATCCCACCCTGTTAAAGAGGAAACGCTTCTCGTATTTATATTATCTTCCACCTATTTATTACGTGACAGCTTTCTTCTTTTGAGAGTGGTGACCTCGCTGTTGTTTGGACTCAACAGTTTCACATTCTGAATGTATTCGAATGAGCAACGTGTCACATCGGCACTGTTATAGTTGAGTTAAACTTCTTTACGTCGGCGACGGATACACCTGACATACCTGCGGGATGGCGGCACGCATGAGCCCTCTTCCCGCAGTAACTGCTGGAAGTGGCGGCTGCACACAGACAGACAGACACACAGACAGACAGACAGACAGGTGCATGCTGTTGAGGTTTGCAGTCTCAACTTGCATTCACTCTGACAACACTTTAAAAAAAAAAAACGCGCTCACTTATTTAAAACATGCATCATTACACGCCTAATCGCCCTCTTCCTCTCTGTTTCATTTCTTTTTAATTGACAGTCAAAACCAGCTTGAAATGTGCCGGTGTCACTTTCTCACCTTTCATCCTCACCGGTGTCTCTGTGCCTGCCCCACTTTTGCCCCTTCTTGCTCGTGGGTGCCACTGCCAATGAAAAGTAGTGTGTCAGACGACAAGAGAGGTAAAGAATATCTTCTTTAATTTTCTGATATTGTTGCATTTGTCGTAAATACGCGAATGCCGAGGAGGTCTGAAGTGTTTCTAATCGCGCTTGGTGAAATTAATTACTTTCCTGAAATCCCCCTTTTCACTTTCACTTCAAAGGACCTTCCCAAGGGCAGCGAATCGACAACTGAAATTAGGTTGTCGAATATTCAGCTAAGCAATTACAGCTATCTGCAGGACTTGTTGAGCAAATTGTAGGTTTAAGTGGTTTGTTCTCGCACCTTCTCCGTTGTACATAATTATATGTGTACAAAAAAAGGAAACAGAGAAGGGCTGTATCGAACAATATTATAAATGACGAATTAGGCTGTAGGTCGAGCGTTTAAATTAGGATATAAACGGATGTCAAATTCAATTCACCCCACTGTTGTTCTTTCTTTTTTTTACGGTTTAGCCTAATTTAAAGACAGTTCACACAATATATAATGTAGCATTGTTGTATTTATTATTGTTATTATAATTATTATTAGGCTGTTATTGTTTCTGTTATTATGTATTTTTTTTAAATAACAATATTGTAATAATAATAACTCGGCAGATTATTGACAGGGGTGAAAGTTGAGTGATGACGCTGACCTGTCCCAAAGTGATGCGCAATTTACAAGAGAGTCCTTTTGATTGCTCCACGCTGAGCCTGAGATTGTCACTAAAATGTCTGTTTACAAGGATTAAGCTTGTTTTTTTATTGCAGCGGAGCAAAAAAAAAGAAAGCCCAGTGAGAGATGGCTCTTTTGTCTCAAGTAGGAAACCTGACAAGGTGAGGATGATCCGCGCCAAGAGGACCAGATGAGAGACAAACCTGCTGCCTAAACTGAGTCGCAGCATCTCTCAACACCGTGCGCCCCTTTTGTCGGCTTGTCATTCACCTCGATAACATTACTGCAATGAAGCGCTCCACTCACTCCGCAGGAGCACATGCCTCTCATGACACAAACGGGCAAAAAAAAAAAAAAAATTGCTATGAATTATATGAATAAGTTACGGTGGAAAGTTCTTATCGGGAGTAGACAGTTATAGAGGTGTGCGATTCAGTGTCTGCACACATGCGTGCTGTTGAACTGCCCCCCCCCTCTGGAGATTTCATTAAAAAAAAAGATTTTTCTCCGCAAGTTTATTTAATTGTATTATCCTGTTTGGGATTGTTTGGCAGTGTAGAGAAATGCATCTCCTCGCTGCCCTGCTCCTGAAAGCATGGCCTATGTGTGGGGTTTTTTTTAATAACGTGTTGGAGGATTTTCAGATTATGCTGGGCCTAGTTGAGCCTGCATTAACGGGAGCAGGCGCAGCCATCCAGCATGTTTCCTACTGATCAAAATGTCAAGATTCGTTGTATCTGTTTCACAAAACAGTTTATTATTTTGCAGACTGACAAAACATTAATTTATTCAATTTAGCAATTTAATGATATCTGATTTAAAAAAAAATAAAAAATAACACCAACAACAATCCATTCTGTGTGTCCCCCCCCCCCTGTTTTACCTCTACCTGGGTCCTGGAAATAACACTTAAATAATTCAAGATGAGTTAGTGAGAGTGGGAGAATTACCTGCCGATAAAGCCCGGGTCCAGCCTCTGAGACGGAGCCAGCACTCCCACCTCACAGCACACTGATGATAAGACTGAATAGAAAAATATCATGCAAATAGAAGGCAGACAGCAGCAACAACAAGCCCATGGGGACATTTTCCTACCCGGAGAGATCGCACACAGTTCACTCTAAAGTGCTAAAGCCATCACTCTGAAATAGGAGCCCCTGGAGGTGCAAGAATCTTCATGATAGCACCAAGCAGTTTATTCTGCTCAACACTCCACTAACTCTGGGAGAAAGCACAACAAATTATAAAGAGAGTTGATGAGGATCCCTGGATAATCCCAGTTTGCATAAAAAGCCCTCATCTTTAACAAATAATGCGGGATGTGTACTTTACCTCCTTTTTCTTTTCAAAGTGTTTTACTGTAACTCTCCCAAAGTGGCACGTTGGAAGTGGAGGGAGGGGAACCCAGTCTTATAATGAATTGATTTTCGAGATAACATAAGCTGACCTCTTGCTATCAGATGGCTTTTCTTTGACTGGAAAAAAAAGTGAGCAGGGTAAACAACAATATCTTCTGTTTGCCACTTCAAACAGGAGAGAGTAGTATTTACAGCCACATGAAAGTTTGCTCATTATCGGGGAGGGTTTTGAAGAAAGGGAGAGGGAGGGGTCCTGATTGTGTACCTGATGTGGTTTCTTTTCTGCTTGTCTGATCACAGCTCTGCCTGGATCTTCCCCTTCCCTTTTCAGCAAGAGCAGCTCCCATGCAGACTGGGGCCAAGACAGATGCAGTAAATGCACCTCACAGTAACAAGGTAGTCATCTCGTTCATCATGTGTGCTGAGGATTTTCATTAATCCTTATATGAACATGCCAATTGCTCCACTTTTTCCAGCTGATTTTCAGATTAAGGATTTGTACTGCAGATAAACAGCACAGATTTGGACCAAAATATTTCATTAGTTTTGCTGAAAACCCATTTAAAAGCATGACTGATGTTATAATACCGAAGCTTTAACGAGGGAGAAATATAATATTGTTTCAAACATAATTGCTGTATATTTTCAGTTAACTCTTTTCATCACGTAGCCTATTTTTATTAATCATGGGCTGAGATAAATTCAAAATTTCCACAAGATTAAGACAAATGTATTCATATCAAAGACACTTTGGAACAAGGACACAAATCTAAAAATTGGTAATACATTCTCCAGCAAAGCAAACACACTGAAGGACAAGAGGGTTTCCCGCATGGTGTGGAGAGTATTGAAAGTCAATTTGTCACTATCATACGCCATTAGCTGCAGAATCTTATCTCAAGTGTGCCTTTGATAAAGTGCTAATGACAAACAGTTTAGTGTTGTAAGGGATCCCATTGATTACTATTTAAAGATGATTGCATTTAGATTAGAAGTCATTTTGTCTAATGAGGTGTCTTTACAGCTACTACAATATGTAGAAAATATGCTTAAGTGCAAGGCGACATAATGATCGGATTGGTAAAGAGACAATGCCGACTTCAGCATCACTTCAAATGAGTCACACAGAACGTCTGAATAAATACATAATTAATGTGAATAAAGTTAATATTTTTTGTGGTTTAAATATGTGACCTATTTTGAACGTTGTGTTCTCAAAATATATTCAATAAGTGCCAAATTAGTTGTGCAGTTCTTTAATCATTCTAATTATACAGTCTTTATTGCTCCTTAGGGCAGACTTTCGTGTCTTTGTCTCAGTGGGAATTATTTTGGTGAAGAACCAAAATATTTACTCAACCACAACCTAAATATTATGCATATCAAGAGGAATTGAGAAATAATCCTCTCATAGAGCACAGTATTAACTTAATCACATTAGGGAAAATACTATTGATAGTGGTCATGATCCCTAGTGAGGGAATCTGTAATTCACAATAAAACAGCCATACAAGCCAGAGCACACTGCAGTGTGTATTAAAGACTGGGGAGTGGAACATGAAAAATGGCCCTGAGGATTGAGTGAGTGTGTGTGAGTGAATGCTTGAATGATGGTAAAGAGGGAGAAAAGAGGAGTGATTGTCAGTTCAATCTTCGAGGACCTGAACTGACAGATACAACAAACTTTGAAAGCACATTATGGAAGGGAGAATGGCGACACAGAAGGATGTGGAGTCCGCGAGGTTGATAAGACCTTCATCTTTAAACCGCCGCTTGTCAAAGTATTATATGTAATCTCACACTGCAGAATATCTCCACACCCTGAGGGCCAAACAAAATAGCAGCGGCAATCAAACGACTCCCTGGATCATTAAAAAAAACAGCCTTTCCTACCCTTTGTGAAAAGTCAGATTTTTGAACTCTGATTGCCGCTACCCCCCACAGGCCGTATGTTTAGCTTAAACCTCCACATGTTCTCCGTCGTGGGGCCCATGTGGTTCAAATCCACAGATACTTGTTTCCCTCCAGGCACCGAGATGACTTTTCCCATGATAGACTATTTTCAACCATTTAGCGGATACATTATCGCTGGCCTTTCTTCCTCATTATATTCCCCTTATCGCCACAGCATCACTGCAAAGCCCCAAATAGAGAGTTGTAATTACCCAGACTGCCACCTGATAGCAGCCCTTCTATCAGCTTTATCACTCCAGGTCCTGCTAACTCATCATAGGGACAGAGGGAAGAAAAGGCCTGCTTGTGGCACAGCCCGCCAC